GTCTACCCCGTGTCGGGAACGAGATCGCGGCAGGGTTAAGTGATGCCTCGTCCTCGTCCGTCTTTGCGGGGGTTTTTGACAAGGCCCAACTACCGCCCATTGCCGCCTTGTTACCCTTTGCGACCGGGTCGTGGGGCATATTTCTACCCTCTTTCTTACAAGTACCATCTGAAAACTACGGGTGCTCTCAGTTCCATGTAACGTCACGAACCACCGGGTTGTCCGCATCCATCCCCAGCGAGCAAGCTGTCAGGTGTAGCCAAGGTAGGTAGGTCATTATATTGGCTATCAAGAACTACGTCAGCTGCACCAACAGCGATCAAAATGCGGAATAGACCGGGCAGCGTGACACATGCACAGGGTCAGCTCTCTGACCCAGTCCAGTTTCTCGAAGATCCATCCCTGTCGAACTTCAACAAGAGATACGGATAAGGTAGGTCAAGAAACCACTCTACAAGATGGGCGGCGGCGCTCGCCCTGTTTGGCCTGCTTGCCTGCCCGGTGCCGCTTATCCACCGGCATTATACATATTTCCTTAAATAGAACCCTTGGAGGTTGCATTGCCATTATTCCCCGCGTGGTCGCCATTTTCAGAGCCGTGCCAGACATCTCGCCTAACGGCCAACCACCGTGATAGCGTATGTGACGTGTGTAGTATTAGTCCGAGTTGGCTTGCAGAACGTCGGTCCCGCCCAACGACCTAATCTCCATTTCTTGGTCTCTATTCTCCGAGGCTAGCATGTCACTGGGTATGGCCGCAGATGAATACCATAACTAAGACAACGAGCACCCCAAGCCGTATTTCGCTTCTGGGATATTTCTGTTGTACCGTGGTGATCTCGACCAGCATCAAGGGCGGTTGCGATTCCTTGACAAATACTCTACATGCATCGCATATTGCGATCAATTTTTCAACCGACATTTCGTTGCAGATATCCTTTCTGTCGGAGGCGACCTCAGATCTACACTGTTTCGTGGGTAGGCAAGACCAGCCAAACCCCTTGTGCGAATCATTTTATCTTATGCCCCTATTTCTCAATATGACATGTTCAAACATTTCTTGATCTACTATACAATAAGCCTGTCATTATGGTTGCGTTCTATGTGACCCTTGGTTCACTGCTTATTTTGGGGTCATCATCCCTCTTCTGGCGCACAGGAGTTTTTCCCGTGTCCTTTTCATATTCTTATACTGCGGCAACCATTAGTACATATCGTCACATCACCACTTGCACTTCCTGTCTCGTCACCGCTTCTTCTTCCTAACAGCCGCTTTTGGAGGGCATATGCTCGAAAAAGAATATTAGCCCAAATATTAGACGTTGTGTATCCACATCCCCCGGCCGTGCTTGTCAAGTATCGAAGGTGGGGGTTGGCGTTATCATTCCGGTTTGCCTAGACGTATTCTATCTACCTTCAGGGGTGGGAAGCACGGAGCCCAAGCATATAGGAGAACGCTCTGCAGTTGTTGCCGAACTAGCGGCTTTGCTGCAAGGTCTCGGTTTCCGTGAAAGTTCCCCCTAGGTGTATTAAACCGCCGTTGTCAAGACCAAGTTCACGGCCTGACCCTACTCCTTTTAATATTCCGGTCTCGCGACTACAACTTTCCCCAGGGACGCGAAGTCCTCGTTGGCCTTATTATCAAAGCAGTTATTCCGAGCAAGCTCCAGTGCTATTCGGACGACATCCAGGGTTTTTGCGCTATACCCCGGGCTGCGGTGTCATTAACCGTTACTAGACCACCGAGTTCATAATTCTCAAGCATTGCGCGTTAGTAGAAACCATCAACGATACCTATGAGAAATGATTGAGCTAACGATGACTTGAAGGCTCGCAACTCCTTCAAAGAATAGGCTTAGTAGTGTGTCCTTGTTTATCATCGCTTCCTTTAGAATTATTAAGTTTACTAACAATCAAAGCTTGGACTCGAGGTCTTTATTAGACATAATTAAACCGGATACGAGTTGGAAATCCGGCCAACACTCTGTCGGTGGATAGGATGGCGAGTCTCACGGATAACTTCCCTCAATTCTCTAGACTGCCCCAGGAACTACGCGATCAAATCGTAAGTTAATCTGCGAAATCTCTATCGTCCCTGATAACTATCTTGTTTCCCACTCTCGGTTTGCTCAGTCGTCTGTCTAATAGATACTATTATTCATCGTGGATTAGACCGCTAATGAGTCAACTTCGGTCCATTGCAGTGGCAGTATGCCTTCCCGGAGGCTCGGATCTACGAAGTTTTAGATTCGCCGTGCTCCGTTCCATCACAAGCCGGGCCAAGTGCGAAACTTATGTTTGCTGATGTTCGGAATGAACCTCCCCCTACGCTGTCTCGGGTGTGTAGGGATTCGCGGCAAGCAGTGCTTCGCCATTACAAACCCCTGGCATTTTCCGGGGTCGTTAAACATATAAATCTCGATCGCGATATTCTCCTTCTCGACTCATATCTACAAGTCAGACGTCTTCTCAAGGTTATCCGCTTATTGAGCCAGGTCGAGTCTGTCAGACGTGGCGCGTCAAGGATAGCATTAGGAACATCAGTACGTAATTCTCGGTGTCATTCCTTCTTTTCTCCGTCAGTCCTTCGATCTACTTGGAAACACTTGGAAGCTCTTGCTGGGCAAAGTCTATGTCCTGGAAATCCCTATTACGCATCCGTCATTAAATACTACGTTGTAATAACGGTTACTGACCCTGAGTGTTGTAGTGGGGTCTACATACCGGGTTACACCTCCGTCTTTTTCACAAGGCCGTACGGACGAAACAAAATATGGCGCGACTCCTAGGGCATCTTTCCAAGTTCCCCAACCTCGAAGCGATCATATTAGTTGTGTATCAGCGTTCTACGTTTAATGTTACTTTCAGTCAGCCAAACCGCACAACCATCCCTTGGGAGCATCATGATTTCTGGGAAGCATATCATTATCGATTCAACGTCAACTTCAACCTCGAGAATTACTGGTTACGTAGACCTTATCAGACAAAGCTGGCCCGATACGACCCCGAAGCTCAGAAAGCCGAGAAACTGTTGGCGTCCACGCGCATATCGAAATCATACTGTCGCGATCCTCAACCACGAGGGCACCAAGTTCGAGATTTAAAGATGATGTTCGAGAAGTCATTACGGACGGTGGCGGCGAGCGGCCAGTTCTCTCCTGCTGGATTATATGAGCCCCCAAAACTAGAGACGGCTACTTTGACCTGGATTTACACTGGATTCGGTTACGGAAATTATCCTTAACAATTATCTATCTATGTTGGTTAATATGACCTCTATTGGGGACCTAGCTTGGATCGCAAAAATAGCGCGCCAACTCACAGCGGCGAGTCTAAGCATCCAAGTCTCTGGTACAGAAAGCATCTCCATTGCGGTTAACCAACCAATGGTCGCAGCACATGACCTGGCCTCAAATTGCTAATTCAGCCTAGAACAAGGCCTAGACTCGTATACCGGAGACATACATCAGTCTAGGCTGCCAATATTATTTGGGCCGAGTTAGGTTGGGCCAACACAAAGACAACGACTACGGTGGCGCCCAATACGGGCACAGTTGAGAGCTTAGCGATCTGCAAAGAAGTTCAAACAAAGCTTTGCACTTGTTATTATTGCATTTCACACACGAAAAGGGTTCTCCAATAATCTTAGAAAGTTATATTAGCTCACTATAGCTTCATTCGTTGATATTCCTTGGTATCCTGCATCCTTTCAGCAACAGCGACCACGACTTAATTATAATCCTGCAACTGAAGAAAACTGTGAAAGACACGAATAACTGATTCCTCTATATTTTATCTGTAGCTCGGCCTTTTAAATTTCGCTCCGCAATATACTGTATACCTGATTCTGGCTTGGCATGCACGAGTATGAGATATTCTACCGCTCTGCCCTATCACCTGACACCTTTGTACCGTAGATTGATGCAAGAGGTTCCCTAGCCATAAGCCCTAACATGCGGGGTGAGATGTTCGAAATAACATTTATTGGCGCTCACCAAAGCCGAGAATCCGTTCCACGGTCCCTTTTTAATATAATAATGATAGAAACCTGCAACAGCGCCGTTATTATCCCAGATGGCCGAGCTGCACGTGCCGTCGGGAGCGAACTCGGTTCTTGTTCCCTTCCGTCTGGCCCATATAACACCCATTATAAATAACGTAGCGCAGGTTGTTTTCGGTAAAGTGCGTAGAAATCTCTAGCTTTATAGGTATAGATCGCAGTCTACATTCGGTCAAACATATTCCTGATATGCCTTAACCAGTCCTATGCATCCTGCTCACCCTTGTCAGAGAACGTAGCTCTCTAAATGCGCTTCATGACCACATTCGTGCTCTTCGGCAGTGAAGCTAAGTCCGCTGGTTTTATTCTTATTGGTATCGCGACTGTGCCGAAGCTCAAAAAACATATCACATTCGTCAACGAGACTTTCGAAAACAACAGTGGCGACTCTCCAAACTTCACTCGTTTGGCCACTTCAGAGGACATATTTGTTTATCTTCGACGATTGTTTTTTATGTTTTATACACAGCCCTTATATAGGTAGTATAGAAGCAAGTATTGTTAGCAAGTCTAATCTAGTCGCAATGCCTTCGAACACACCCAATCTCTAGGGCGCCCCCAATTCGTCTTCATCACACCCAAGCTAGCAGGCAAGTTAGAATCATGGATGTTGCTCGACTCATTGTATAATCCTCAACGTTTAATCGATTAAGGTTTAAACTATTGAAAAATTAAACGTTTAACGCTTGATGAACCGTTAATTTATTATTAATTAGCTGATTATCAGCCGTGGTTCCCTCATGGAGTGTTTTGTAAATGTTTGGACAGAGTAAATAAAGACCTGAGCAACAGTTTATTAGATTGGGTGGGATGGTATGCATGTATACTGTTCTATCGCATCTCCTCACAGGATTGGTATATAGTCACCTCTTTCTTTTTCACTACACATCTCAATTCGTTGGTCACCATACTATCGTGGAGCACCATCGAATGAAATAAAGGCCAGGTGGCGGAGTGGTTAACGCGGTAGACTCGAATACTTCGTTCGAGGCCATCTACTTCCTTCGGGAGCGTCTGTTCGAATCAGGCCCTGGTCGGGAATTGTTCTTTGCTTGTCTCAAGCATCCCTTTTTTAGTGGTCCGTTACTGCATTTATTATGCAAATTCATTTCTGCCCTGATGTGCCAAGATCCGGGGAAGCCTATAGGAATGAATGGCCGTACTGGTTGGTGGCCTATATGTTGTATATAGTTTTTGAACGTGGGCGCAACCCTAGCTAGGTCTTGGCGCTTTAGGGATCTGAATTCGCACGATTAATGCAGTGCTACTAGTATACATAACTATGGCGTTGAAAAGTGGCTAGGTTCCTATGTGCTAAAGTAAGTATACTAACTAGGTGGGCTCGCTAACGCTTGCCATCTACAAAACCCGGACTAGATAGAGTAGGACCCAAGGTCTAGATCCTTCCTTCTTTTCATGCGGATCTGCCACTCAGATTTAGTGCTATTATTATAGGGAGATAGTTCAGTTACGTACTGTTCTTAGTTAGCTACAGGTATATACTAGGTACTGTGTACACACTATCTAAACTATCATTACATAATAACACCTCGATGGCGTCCGCCAGCGTTGACACAGTTCGGGTTCCTGGAGACACCAACCCCACGACGCAGTTACGGCTGTCCTCCGGCAACGGCCCCGTCTCCAGGACAGTGCTGAAGACGCCTCTGCGCGACGCACTCCCGTCCGAGATTCCGGTCATCGACGTCTCTGGCATTTTCAGCGCGTCCAGGGACGCTCGGGTGGCCGTAGCTCGCCAGATCCGCGACGCCGCCACCAACAACGGGTTCTTCTACATCAAGAACCACGGCATCCCGGCCGACGTGCCGGAGGCCGCCTGCGAGCGACTCCTCGCCTTCTTCCGGCAGCCGCGGGAGACCAAGGAACGCGCCAGCATCAGCCAGTCCAAGTACTTCAACGGGTACAAGCCGCCGCAGTCGCAGCGCATCAACCCGTTCGAGTCGGTCGACGTGCGCGAGACGTTCTCGTGGACCTACGACCCGCGGTATGACCCGTCGGTCCCCGACCCGGCTGCCATCCCGGCGCACGTCGCGCGGTACCTGAGATACGAGGATTTCTACTGGGAGGCGACGGCGAACCTGCCCGGCTTCAAGGAGGCCGTCGTGCGCTATTGGCGTTCGTGTCTCGCCCTGGCCCGGGCTCTTGTACGGTCCTTCGCGCTGTCGCTCGACCTGCCCGAGGATTTCTTCGCCGAGAAGTTCACGCACCCGGATGCCGCCCTCGCGTTGAACTACTACCCACCTCTGCCTCGTCCGCAGACCTCGGCGGAGCAAGGAGGAGGAGAAGCAGAGGTCTCGATTGGCTCGCACACTGATTTCCAACTCTTCACGATTTTGTGGCAGGACGACAATGGCGGCCTCCAGGTGTTGAATCGCCAAGGTCAGTGGATTAATGCGAAACCTATCCCTGGGACGTTCGTCGTCAATATCGCCGACTACCTACAGCGCATCACGAACGATCGCTACGTGAGCACCGTGCATCGCGCCCAGAACTATAGTGGGAAGGAGAGAATCAGCATGCCCTTCTTCTTTGGGTTTAATCTCAATGAGAGCTGCGGCGTGCTCGATAGCTGTGTTGCAGAGGGGGAGGAGAAGAAGTATGGTGAGATTAGTTGCGAAGAGTGGGTTCAGAGGCGAGCGAGGGCAATGCATAGAGAAGGTGAGGCATCACGCGAATGAGTGTCACTACTCAGCTGGTGTTGTAATGTAGTAGTAATACGTATAATAAATACATTCATTCTTATGATCTTATTTATTCGTTATAATAGAAAGCTTCAAGTTACAAATATGGTATGAACTGTGAATGCGTTCGTTACAAGTGGTATCCGTATGTTAATTAGTATATACCGATAAGAGATTTTGGGTCGTAGAATCCCTTGAGCCAGCTCTCGTCATCTCATCATTATACAATCATGGTTTGGGTTGACATTATATATACATACATTTAGTGCCAAGCCCCGGCTTGTGTGGGATCCTGCATTATTTGCGGCACACCAAAGCTATGCATCCCCTGGTTAGGTATAAACCCGCCGTACTCTTGCAGAACATAGTTCCAGTCCATCTCGCCGCCAATATTGACATCAGGATATACCATAGAAAATTGCCTATTAACATCGGCAGGCTGCATGTTGCCGAATATGTCGGCAGGGTTGTACATTGCTGTATTGGGTACCACATTGGATGGTGGTGCAGATGACGACGGGGTTGTTGAAGCGAACCCAACACTAGCTGCTGACGGCTTCGGTGATGGCGTTGGCATCGGTGTTTTATCCTTAGTCTTCTTAGGTTTCTGGGCATCGATTTGTCTCATGACTGTGATAAGTCTTGGTGGAGCTAGAGTGCGGCCGTTTGCAGCTTCGGCGGTTTCTCTAGCATCCCAGGCCTTCACGAAGAGTGCACTGAAGGCAAGGTGTAACGGGGTGCGTGTTGTAGTCGTCATTTTCCTCCTTTCTGCATGCTCGAAAATTGTTTCCCAAGCGCGTTCACACAGATCACCAGTCGTACGAACGCGGAGCTCACTTAACAGACAAACATATGCAGGGAATGGGAAATACATCTTTGTGTACCAGAGGAACCCTTTCAATCGTTCATGAGCTTGCATCATACCGTCATACTCGAGCATCCGTATGGCCTCGATTAGGAGAGCTTCGCTCTCAGCAGCGGGCAAGGGGGAAGGGGCCGTTATCGCAACTCGGAAGAAACCCGAATAGACTTTTAATTTGCAAATATTGCCTCGGGACATGAGGAGTGTCATATAGTGAATGGGTATTTTTGGATCGCAGAACTTCAAGTATGTTTCCTCCATATAGTGTGCGAATTGGTCGAAGTAGCTCGAGAGGCGGTGATCTGCTAGATTTGTGACCGCTTGCGGATTAGCAGCAGACAATTGAGCCTTCATCTTGTCATTTCCAGGTGCTTTAGCAAACTCGAGCCGTGTAAGGGCAAACATCATCTCGGTAGCGCCAGTATGAGGAGGAGGTGATTCTTTAGCATGAGCGTTTAGGTCGGCGTCGTTGATATTAAGCGGCAACTTGCAATTACCACCCGTCGAGATGGCCGTGATGGTCGATCCACACATTTCCCCTATGCGTCTGTCAAAGCCAGCCAAGTTCCACCAAAGCCTGCGCCTCTCTTCTACTTCGAAAGGGGAGAAACCGAACTCTGCACCGTCTCGTTGGAGGCCGAGACGTTGGGCTAGACGGACGCCAATGCCCGTTAAACAAAACAGGGCACGAGGATCTGTATACTGTCTAACGCCAATCTGGTACTGGTTAGGATTAGAAGAATATCGAGCACTGAAAGGGGCGGTCTTACACAATATAATAAGTAGGCCTGTAGTATTGTCAGATCCGGCATACGCATGAATCCCGCATTGAACAAAGCTTGTTGCGTGCCATGCTGATATTTCATTAGCAAGTTTGATCTCGTATCGCTGAATGTCCGCTCCACTTCGTCGTCGCCAAGACTCGTGATTGCCATGAGATAGATAGCAAACATCAGGGCCTCTAGGCTTTTAGACACCTTTGTGAGATTTGTCGAGGCATCAATGATCCGGACTTGGAGGGTGGGTGTGTGCGTTAGTTTCAGGAGAGGGTCGACATTCTCTAGATATATCTGCCATAATTGAATAGTTTGCATGCCTGACGGATGTAGGTCGGTGACGCTCTGGAATTGACTGCCAATGGCAAAGGGGAAGTTATCTGTGTTGCCGAACATTTGATCGAAGGCGTGATTAATGGTTGACCCGACGTCTTCCTCCTCAGACGACTCTGGAATTGGTTCGGTAGGTGCTCGAAACTAGACTCAGGTTAGGATGAGTATATCAAGGGGTCACACAAACCGACATACCTCTTTCTGAAAAGGAAACCATCGAAATGTGCTGCCGACATGTCTCATTTAGCACGTGGCACATCGAGGTACTGCATTTGGGGGAAACCCGAGATGTTACTCACCGTGGTCTATGGAGATTCTCGCCAACAGAGGAGATGACGTCAGAATCTGGACCGGCAGGCGACCCCTTGGCTCTCTGTCTGGTGAAGTCAGGGTCGAGCTCATCGCCCTCCTCAACAGAGCCGGGGTCGGTGATCTTTATGTCGGGGCCAAGCGACTCGAACTCGATACCGTTCTGAGACAGCAGGGCCTCGTACTTCCTGAGGCGGTCAACGAGGTCGCGCTCGGGGATGCGCTTCTTCCTTCGTCTCGGAGGTTGGGGTGGCACAACGCGGCAGTCGACGCCGGCCTTGACGCAATTGGAACATGGCTTCTTCTTGTCGCATCGCACCTTGCGCTGCTGGCAGAGGACACAGCTGTGGCCGCGGGTGACCTTGACAATGGAGGAGTCCGGATCTGGCGGGGTATTGGCAACCGAGGCGCCGATCGGAGTGGTGGACTGGTTGTAGACTGAGCTGCCATCGCCGGAGTGATGAGACTCTGGGGTGGCAGGCATCCTCACGACTCAGTCGGTCCCGAGTCGGAGAGCACAGACAAGAAGGACGAGAGTGAGGGAGAGGACTGGACTGGACCGGACTGGACTGGGCTACTGTACGTATCGGCAGGACAGGCCGGGAATTTGTGCGGTGCAGTGGTACGCACACGCTACGGTCTAGCGCCAGTGCACACAGCACAGGCTAGGTACAGGAGGCCACGGCTAATGCAGCGCGGGTAAAGCTTAAACGAACCGGCGGAGTCCTGCACTGCTAGTCATTGATAAGATGTCGGGTAGGCACGATGATGGACCTGATGGGCCTATCTACGCACATGAGACGATGCTTCGTCGCTGCTTTCATTGGTATCTTGGGTAAGAGGCGTGTCTCGCGAGTGCGGGGTTTCGGGACCGACAGAGAGGATCCTGTCTATAACTTGTTACTTCCGCGCGCTCGCTGCAACCTCAGGCTCAGGCTCGTAACCACTACCTAGTGACAACGGGCGGGAGGTAGCGGCGGCATCAACCGGTTTGGTATATGGTCGTAAGCAGTAAGCAAAGTGGGATGGATAACGACAAGGAAAAGGACTACAGC